ATATCTTTTCAAGAATTTGTGTTTTGGCCTCCTGAGAATATTGACTGCACTAAGCATGGCATTGTCCATTAATAATTAATTTTGCAAAGTGAACCTCAAATATGCATTAAGCCACCAACTTGTATTGGCAAAAGCTTAATATCATCTCCTTGCATTTCTATAATGTCTTTAACATTGGAGTCCCAAGGAGCTTTGTTCTTTTTCTGTGGATTGCCAACTTAAGCTGGGAAGAGGTTTATTCTGCCTGACGAAACTTTGAGTCATGCCATCATGTGGCTACTGGTCAGGCCACAAACAATACCAGGGGTTCCAGACAAAGTGCAATTCAAAAATTCCTCAACAGCAGAACAAGTGAAGGAAGACTTTATATCTCCCTAGATGCAAACCTGGAAGAAGACTGCTAGGCAGTCTTGAGGATTGTGGTTTGGTCTGTCACCGAAATCTGATCATAAACTTGTCAAGATTGTGTCGACAATGTTGGTACCTGGGATTCCCCTGTAAAACAAAATCATCCAGAGGCTTCTGCCCGGGTCCATTTACCAAATCCTGTGGCGATGGAAGACTGGCAATGGGGACAGGGCTATGAATCTGGGAGTCCCTTAGTCAAGAATCTGCACAGAGGTGACAGATGCATGTAGGTCATTGGATATCCGTGTTGAGACAGAGCTATTTTGACTCGCAACATCTGTGATAGTGGAGTCCTGGTCAGGGTATCCAAATGGGAAAGGAGATTAAAAAAAAAGGTGCCCTAAAATAAGTGCCATAAAATTTCTCCTGGCTGGGGAACTTCAGCCTTCAAGATCACCAGAATTTGTCTCATAGAAAACTTTAAATTTTGGCAACTTAGAATGTTAGACCACTCATGGATAATTTCAACAGCAACCACCCAGAAAGATGAATTGCAATTGTATCACATGATCTAGCAGAACTACAAATTGACATTGTTACCTCAGAGAGACCTAACTTCCTGTGTTGGGGCACCTGAACAAATAAGTAAAGGGATACATCACCTACTGGACAGGAAAGGCTGTAAGTGATCTTCAGGTCCACAGAGTGAGCTTTGCCATCTGGAATAGGGTCTTGGGTGCACTGCCAGAACTCTGAATCGTAACAATGAAGGACCCATGAGACTTCACCTCCAGCTCAGCTATATTCAATATGGCACCGTCTTCAGCACTGAGACATTGACATTCGTCTCTGATGATCATAAACACACACAAACACTATAGTTTACAGGTGACTACTACGTTGCTGCCCATTCTGCATCAAACTTGCAATAAATGTTGAAGGAGAGATTCTGGAATATGCTGAGTGCTTCCTGTATCTTGACGTTCACCTCTCTGAAAAGACCACCAATGATAAGGAGATTGACCACTGGAGCAAGTGCACCAGCTCAGCCTTCTACAAATTCCAACAGCAAGTACTTAACAATAAAGACTTCAGGAAGTCAACAAAACCTATAGCGTACAGAGCAATTATCATCATAATGCTGCTGTACTGCAGTGACCGAGACCTGGACTGTGTATTAGCAACACACAAGAACACTAGAGAAATTCCAACAGCAGCATCAACGCTGCATATTCTGGAATAAGTGGAGGACCATCAACCAAATGCTGGTGTCCTTCTAAAGCCAGCAGTACAAGCATTCTGGTAAAACTCCTGCAAAATCAACCTTTATGAGCTGAACACTGTGTCCAGAAGCTGAAAGCAATTTTTCCCACCAGGTCCTGTTTTCACAACTCACTATAACCAATATTCCAGAGGAAGGCAAGAAAATACACTCTGAAGCTCATTTTGAATTGCAGCAGCTTTGCCATTAATGACTGGAAGAAGATTCCTCCCTTTAGCTCCGAATGGCAACAAACTGTCCATTAGGCTGTGTTATACTCTGAGTCACAATGTCTTAGAGTCATACAGCATGGAAACAGACCCTTCGGCCCAACTGGTCCATGCCAACCAGGTTTTCTCAACTGAACTAGTCCCATTTGCCTGCATTTGGCCCATGTCACTCTGAACCTTTCCTATCCATGTGCCTGTCCAAATGTGTTTTAAATGTTGTAGTTGTAGTCACCTCTATCACTTCCTCTGGCAGGTTGTTCCAGATATGCACCATACTCTGTATGAAAAAGTTGCCCTGCAAGTCCCTTTTAGGTCTTTTTCCTTTCACTTCTATGCCATCTAGTTTTCGACTCCTCTACCCTGGGAAAAGACCTTGACATGCCCCATCATGATTTTAGAAACCTCTGTAAGGTCACCCCTCAGTCTCCTACGTTCGAGCAAAAAAAGTCCCAGCCTCTCCAGCCTCACCTTATAACCCAAACCTTCCTGTCTTGGTAACATCCTTGTAAATCTTTTTTGCACCCTTTCTAGTTTAACAACATCCTTCCTATGGCAGGGCAACCAGAATTGTACACAGTACTCCAAATGTTGGCCTTACCAATGTCTTGTACTGCCATACCATGACACCCAATACCTGTAAGAAATGCTCTGGCTGATGAAGACAAGCATGCCAAATGCCTTTTTCTCCATCCTGTGTACCTGTGACACCACTTTCACGGAATTATATACATGCACCTAGGTCTCTTTGTTCGACAACACTCTTACCATTAACTATGTAAGTCCTGCCCTGGCTTGTCATACCAACACCCCACATTTATCTAAATTAAACTCCATCTGCCACTCCTCAGCCCACTGGCCCAAGATCCTGTTGTGCTCTTAGATAACCATCTTCACTGTCCACTGGACCACCAACTTTGGTGTTTTATCCGAAAACTTACTAACCATATGTCCTATATTCTCAATTAAATCGTTTATATAAATGACAAATAGCAGTGGACCCAGCACTGATCCTTGTGGCACAGCACTGGTCACAGGCCTCCAGTCTGAATAACAATCTTCTATTACCACCCTCTGTCTCCTACCGTCAAGCCAATTTTGTAACCAATTGGCCAACTTTCCCTGGATCCCATGTGATTTAACCTCATTAACCAGTCTACCATACGGAAACACATTGAAAGCCTCGCCAAAGTCCATGTAGACAATGTCTGCTGCTCTGCCCACACCTGTCTTTTTGGTCACCTCTTCAAAGAACTCCATCAATTTTTGGAGACCTGATTTCCCACACACAAAGCCATGTTAATTATCCCTAATCAGTCCTTGCCTTTCTAAATGCATATGGATCCTGCCTCTCAGAATCACCTCCAAAAACTTACTGACCACAGACATCAGGCTCATGGGTCTGTAGTTCCCTGGCTTTTCCTTAAAGCCTTTCTTTAATAATGGCACAACATTAACCAGCCTCCAGTCTTCCAGCACCTCACCCAGGGATTTATCTACTTTTTCACATTTTAAGATCTCCAGCACCTCCTCTTCTGTAATGTGGACTCTTTTCAAGATACTATTTATCACTATTTCACCATTTATTTCCCGAATTCCCTAGCCTCCACGTTTGTCTTCTTGGGGTATACTGACACAAAATATACGTTTAGTATCTCATCCATCTCCTGTGGTTCCACACATATACAGCCTCATTGATTGTTAAGGGGTCCTACTCTATCCCTAGTTACTCTTTTGCCCTTAATGTATTTATAGAATCTCTTTGGATTCTCCTTAACTGTATCTGCCATCTGAATCTATTGACTTATCACTAGGCATTGTTCATCTGTTGTTAGTGTAATTGTTTTCTCATGATATCCCTGTTTCTGATGAAACATCCGATTGCCTATTTCCATAGAAGGATCCAATGGTGCAATTTAGAGGTTTCTCTAAAGTTAAAACAGATGAAAATTTTGCAATAACTATTTCATATTGAGAGCATTTTTATGAACTACTGCTTCCTGTTAAAGGAATATTTTTTTAGAAAGCTTACTGTATCTGTAATTATAAAGCAAGATTCAGGTTATTAATGCTCATACAACAAGTTTATTCTGCATTTAGTAAATTAAAGTGTATTAATTGATACAGCAGTTCAGTAGTCTGGTGTGTTGGACAGCAACATGTTGCACTAGGTATTAAAAGAAATAGGAACAAAAACAGACATTGCTGGATAAGCTCAGCAGGTCTGGCAGCATCTGTGAAGAAAAAATCAGAGTTAACATTTTGGTTCCGGTGACCCTCCCTGAAAAAGAAATAAGGTTCTGACCTAAGATTTTTACAATATGTTCTTGATGTTTGTTGGTGTTTCTGGAGGAATATGCATGGAAAAGGTCATGCACTTTCCTACAGCAATGGAGAGAGAGATAATCCGCAGTGAGCCTGGATTACTCTTTGTTACTGAATATTGAGTAACACTGACAGAAACCTGAAAGCACAGCCTGTCCCCACAGTCTGGAGGAATAATAGAAACATAATAATAGAATAGAATGTCCTTTATTGCCACGTGTACTCAAGTACATCGAAGTACAGGAGAACAGTGAAAAGTTTCAGTGTCACCATCTTAGGTACAAGTACCTAGGTACAAAGCTTGGATACAAAAAAGATCAATAAAAAAGAAAAGTAGTTGCCTTACTTTGCAGTGATTGATAGAATATATTAGAAATAAGACATAGTTAAAAGGATAGTCATTACAGTCAGATAAACAAATTACAAATAAACATGGTGCAGGGCTGGATGAACACAGCAGGCCAAGCAGCATGCTCCTATGATGCTGCTTGGCCTGCTCTGTTCATCCAGCCCTGCACCTTGTTGTCTCGGATTCTCCAGCATCTGCAGTTCCTACTATCTCTGATACAAATAAACATAGTAGCGCAGCGCAAGGGCTTCCACACATGGTCTGACCACCTGCAGCAGACCCCAGTTCAACAAACGTTCCTGCTCCACTCCAAGACCCCAGTCCACTCCTCACCGGCTCTCAGCTGCTCCAAAGTACATTTACTCCAGGACTCACTTCCCCTTGTTGGCCTCCACCCGGGAATGCTTTCTGTCGCTTCCCGCCGCCCCGGGACTGTTTCCCCGCGGCAGCCACTCTAGGACTCAATTCTCTGCGAGAGCCATCACTCCAGAACTGCTTCCCTGCTCCAGATTTCACCTGTGGGGCTCGCCAGCTCCTCCATTCCCATCCCGGTAAGTCCAAGTCATTAGCTGAAAAAAAACGTAAAAAGGAGGGAAAAAGAGAGAAGAGAAAGGGCAGAGCAGGGGAGGTCCAGCTGGAGTGCTTTACTTTGTCACCATCTTGCAGAAATGTATTAAAGAAAACAAGTGACTTAGACAAGGCTTCATGGATAAATTATATACTGGTTAACTAAAAGGGAAAACTGAGGTTTAACACTCAGCAATTATAAAAAATCCCACTCTTTGCATGTAAATTGCATTTTATACTTTATAAAAATTAATTTGACTAAAAACATTCCCTGATGGTAAACAGGATTTCTAAAGAGTGAATTGAATTTGGCTGGTGCTAAAATTATTGAAATGTACAAAGGAACACAATATTTGAGATACAAGGATGTAAATACAACAGGTAAGAAAAGAACTTTTAGTTAGGGGGCAAGAAGCAAATGCTTCGCAGTTGTATATCCAGCAAAATATTAAAATCTTCACAAAATTAAATTACTTCATTTTACATATTCAGTACATTATAATGAGTCCTTTGTTTTATCTATCATGTCAGTTAAGTGTTTATAGTGTCATATAGACATGACATGAGGTCATTTCATAATATTTTGCTGACAGGCACCACTCAGCATTTTGTGACGTTTGTAGAATAAGGAAAATGGCAATATCACACAGTGCAGGGCATAGAATGATGCTTTAGATAACAGTAACACAAGTTGTGTAAATACATTAACAATGTCCTTAACTTCAATTTAATAAAATGCACATCCACATAAAATTTGTTGCAATTATTAAATGTTAAATATAATTGCATATTTTATCCAACTGATTTGGAAGCCATCAGCTATTTCTTCAGTAATGATTACTTATTTGTGAGGTCATACTCTATGGTAAGTATATAGCAGGACTTTTTGATCTTTTTACAAATGATTTATTTACACCAAGCTAATCATATACATTACTGTGTAATGAGCTCAAAATAATTGTTCCTTTTTGGGAGTTACCTCATCATCATATGGTGATGACATCCTTAATGACATAGTTTCCTATGTATATGTGGAGTTATAATCTTTGCTGTATATCACCCTGTGTCTCTGTGTCTCTATCCAACTCAGTATTATATTGAGTTTGGCACTAGCTACAAACAGACAACTCGGTTTTGCATTTGCTCTGAGCATGACGCAATCCACTACTTTCAGTTTGCTTGTACCTTTGAACAATTTTGGAAATTCAAATCTGAATACACTGCTTTGGTCCTCTTCTTTATTTTTTTCCATTTTGTAAATTCATTTCAAGTCCATACGTGCCTTTCTGCTTAATGATGAGTACCCTTGGTTTTGTTTATATATAGTGTTTCAAAGGATGTTCAGTCTTTGTGTTTGAGCTTTGCAATGTCCTTTGATCTTCGGATTGATCGCTCCTGACCTTGTGGTATAAGTAATGAAGGTTGCAATATACCTGATTTCTTTTCCTCTGAGGGTAGCGAATCTATGGCATTCTTTACTGCAGAGGACCATTGAAGCTGGGTCATTAAATATATTCAAGGCTGAGACAGATAGATTTTTAATCAGTAAGGGAATTGAAAGTTATGGGGAATAGGCAGGAAAGTGGAGTTGAGCATTATTAGATCAGCCATTATCTCATTGAATAGCACAGCAGACTCAATAAGCCAAATGAGCTACTTCTGCTCCTATACCTAACAGTCTTATGGTCACTCTTCATCATCAGAAAGTACACAGACTGCTGCTCCTGTGTCCAGTTAGAAATTTGTAGATGTTCATTGACCTCCGTATTAGTGCTTCAGCATTTACATTTTTTGTAAATTACCTTCTCTGAGGGACATGGTTTCTTCATTCTCTGGCTCTTTGATTTCTTGGATGGTGCTTTTCTTTGAGAGCATTTTCCTCAGCTTTGAGAGTAAAAATTTCTTGGAGCAGCGTACTAAGATAAAATGACAGACTGTTCCAGTTCAGATGAGACAATCATCACACCTATGGACCTGCTTCCCATTACAGCAGGACCATGACAAGATATTAAAGCTTTACATTCCAGATTTTTTTATTGACTTCAAATTTCACCACATGCTACAGTGCCAGAACATTAGTCTGAGATTCCAAATTACAAGCCTAGTGACATTACCACTAGGCCAAACCCTCCCCCTTTTAACCTAGAGGGATTTCGACAGTGTGTGATTCCTTTTCTCCAGTTACCCATTTTCTGAACTGTTATGATCTCTCAACATATTCAAATGTATCTGGAAGCAGCGAGGTCAAATTCATGCCAGCATGTTAGTGTAGGTTTTCTTCCTGTGCTGCTCCATGTTTTAGTTACTGGGCTCTTTTATGAGTTTTTACCTGCAATGTGTGATCATAGGGAGCTTGCCATGGGGTTTGATCATTTGATGTTGTTGGGTTGAGTTCAAGACAATGTCAAGTCTTCTCTAAGGTAAGGAAATAACTGTACTCCTGCATTTTTTAAAAATAATTGTTTACTTTCTCCAGTCTAACTATATAATTAATATAACAAGGTATGTACAAAGTAAAAATAGTATGGGTACTGTGTGCAATTCTGGTCGCAATGTCTTAAAAAATATGTAGAGGCATTAGGGAGGAAATCTATCTTATGAGGAAGAGTTGCAAAGGTTGTGTCTGTATCCACTGAAATGGAGTAGGATGAGAGGTGATCTTAATGAGAGGGTGTTTCACCTTTTAGGAAAGACTAGAACTGGGGATTCAGTTAAAAAGAGGTCTGCCATTAAAGATCTAGCTGAGGAGCCATTTGTTTTCTTTCAGACAACTTTGGACAACGGAATTCTTTTCCCCAGAGAGCAGTGAAGGCTGGATTATTGAATACTTTAAAGCTGAGTTAGATAGATTCCTAATGAGCAACGGAGTCAAAGAGTGTAGGGAGCTGAAGCCACAATCAGATTATCTTGTAAAATGACACAGCAGACACTAGGGGCTGAATAATTTGTTCCTAATTTATATGTTCATAACATCATAATCCAGGCAGAATTGGCTCACCCAGCAGAAAAGAGTGAGGAATTTTAAATGCAAATGAGTTATGTCTAAACTCATTTAGGTTAATATTTTCTAAACTTTTATTTTAGAGTAGTTAAATCATCATGTTGAACTTGCGAGATTCTGCAAATTATGTTGCATTAGGAAGGCTTTACAAATTATGTATATTTCCTTTGATGCACAGATATTATAGGTAAATTTTAAATATATTTTCATACCAAAAAATAAATTAAATTGCTATGAAACTAATAAATCATTCAGTAGATTTTTTAAAATCATTTTAAAATTGGTTACTCAAAAGTAGGAACTGGACACTTCTTGAAAGTTTTTATTCTTGGCAAGTAAATCTATTTTTAGCAGTATCAATAAAACTGCAGGTTCTCACTCTTAATTACATCAACAGATAATTTTAAAGCAGGAAATAACCCAATTATATTCTATTGCTATAATTGATTGCATTTGTTCCTTGAAGCATCTAAATTCATGATTAGACAAACAATTTTATTGGGACTCTAATTTGTCACCTGATCTGTACAATTTCAAGTACATTTTGGGTACTAATTCTCAGTTGCATTCAAAGCATAAAGTCTACTTTTGATTTCTATCTTACTGTCACCATTAAAGACAGAGTAAACCAATTAGAACCTTTCACTATTCTATCTAAGAGTACTACAAGCAATAAACCTACATTTAGAATGTGATAATTTCCACAGAAAATATTTTATTAAATTTTAAGACTGATTTCAACAAGAACTGATTCCTAATTATTATTGTTTCCAGGCCATTTTTGACCGTAATAGAAAAGATGAACTCCCAAGACTGCAGTTGGAATGGATCGATGGGATATGTATGCCCCTCTATGAGGTAATGATTTTAAGCAATTGAAGTTTAACTTCTATAAGATATGTAGTCCATTATTTCTTTGGCCTATGAACTTAATATTAGGCAGAAGTTTATAAAGACTGAAGACCAATTTATCTCCAGTGTTTGATACATAACGAATTGGCACATTCAACTGACTCTTTAAACATCATGGTGAAATGTCAGATTTAAAATAAGATTATTTTTAGGTTGATAAGACCGGACAATTAAGTGTTATGCACTTTGCCATTTCCTGCAGAATTCTGAAAGCAATTCAGCAAAAAGATAAGCAAATGAAATATTTGTCCCAGCAAAGGCATGTGATCATTTACTACACCAGTCATTCTATCTCTGTGAATAGCCATGTTGTTATAATTTGATTCTTTCCAGGCATAAATGATCTCCCCATAAAATGTGTTTGGCCTGTAGCTAACAGTGCATTAATTCCATGTACACTATAATAGCTTTGTGAATCTCAGTTAATAAATGTTGGTGCCTTAGGAGCAGTCTGCTGCTTTGCCATTTCTGTATAGCAGTGGAAATTCTAAACATGATGGGGCATTTAGTCATCCATGCCAAAACCACAGAATCGGTCAACTAAAACAATCAGCAGGTTGACAAACTTATGACCCTAGATAGCTTTTACTGAATAGAAATTATTTGTGCTTTGGGCAAACAGTAGTAGAATTGACCTTTCATTGCTGACCACTTTGTCATGTCCCTCAAGGTACGCTGATCTATTATCCAATCTAATTTCATGTGGTCATTTAAGTTCTCACAAACGTTCAAGCTAATATTTCCTTTTAAGTGTCTAATTTTAACACTTTTGGTGAACACAGAAAACTTTTTGTTTATAATATTGGTTTCTGTAGTCTGGCAACCAGCAGCTGTCTGCGGGAGGATCCAATCCAGATTTTCCATCAGCATCCTCTCAACTTCCCTTTCTGATACATGATGTCAAGACTGCAGACCTGCCCTCTTGCTTTTCATCACCCACAATCAGAAATTGTTATGAGTATATGACTGGCCCCGACTCATTGTATTGCTTAGCAATATTCCCATGCAATATAGTGTCAGGATAAAGAGTCGATCATTTAGGACATAACTGTAGTGAAATTTCTTCACTCTAAATGTTATAAATCTTTGGAGTTCTCTACCCCAAAGGATTGTTGATGCTCCATCATTGAGGACATTTAAGGCTGAGATGGAGGGATTTTTGATCACTCCAGGAATTGACGAATCTGTGGATGGGTGGTTGGCAATGTGAAAATGGAGATGAAGATCCATCATGATCATATATGATGGTGGAGTGGACTCAAAGGGCCCGAGTGGCCTAACCCTTCATCAATGTTTTTTTGATGAATTTATGTTCTTAAGATATTTCGTACTTACAAGTGAGGCCAGAACTAGGGTTCATACATGTAAAAGATAGTCATAAATAAACCCAATCAGAATTCAGGAGAAACGTCTTTACCTAGAGAGCAAATGGACTGTTGAGCTCTCAAGCAAAAGAGTAGTTGAGGTGAGTTGATTAGATGCATTTAAGGAGTAGCTAGAGGGACTTAGGAATAGAAGGATATGTGGATGGAATTAAGTGAAGAAGGGTTGGAAGAGGTCGAAGTGGAACTTAAGCACAGCTTAGATTTGAAGGGCAGATGGCCTTTATTTTTGCATTAGATACTGACGACACAATTCACCTGCAGGTACTAGTGCTATGGAAGACCAAAACTTCAGAAATGTTGGTTGTACAGCTTCCTGCTAAGAGGCTGTTGAGCCTGGCCACATGGCAGGGCTTGGGTATTTAACAACAAAATACACAAGTGGAAGATTAGGATTAGGGAAGGGACTGATGGGTGATGTGCAAAACAAGAGGTCAATGACTTTTTCATCTGCAGTTTGCAGGTCTTACCAGGTAGCAGGCTGAAGACAATGTGGGATTTAAGAAGCAATGTGAGGCAGTAACATGATCTCAGTCGCAGATAGTTCCGTAACGTGGAATAAGTCTCCACTAGCGAGCCTAGAAATTGCGGATGTGTCCATCTCCCGCCAGGTTTTCTATTTTTGTTGTTATGTGTGAAATTCTCCTGTGAGTGAGGGAGAATGGGAAGAGCGTCAATGAGTGTGTTGCAGTGTGTTTGTGTAATGTGCTTGCCATATCCAAATAGCTGGAGGTATGTGTAGGCTGCAAGCGGTGGGTACGAAGCTGGCATCGTGGCTGCATATGTTAGGGTGAGGTGGAGTCTCTGTTCATTAGATATGATTGCTGAAAAATAAGAGGTTGGTGGAGTGGTGATAGGGTTTTTATCTGTAGATACATTCACTGGCTTTGACCACTCATAATAGGTCAAAGAACTATCTGCAGCACTGCAGCCAGGTTCTGACTTACCTCCTTGATCATCTGCTCCTCTTTATTTGTTTTGCCTCAAGCATCTCCTGGTTCCGTGTGGAATCATGGCCTTTCTCCTGTTTTCACCTTCCATCGTTGCAACCTCCTATGCAGCCTCCAAGGGTCTGAAAACGCTTGCTGTGTCGCATTTTTCATTGGCAGCTCTCTGCCTTCCACCAAAGCCTACCTGAGGCAGTTGTAGCTGCTGCTGTAACTTGAGAGCACCTCTCCTGCATGAAGTGCAGGCTACCTATTCATCATCATAGCCAAGCACACTGTGGACCCTCCCAGCTGAACATGTAACACATTTTGCATTGGACTACACAACACCAGCTTGTTGAAGAGCAGCCAGCACTCAGTTTGCATGCTGTCTGCCTCAGTGACACTGGGCATGGGTTAATCATGCATTGTGATCCCCATACCCAATAATAAGCAATTAAAATGTTCCTGCATCTCACAGCTCTGACCTAACAGAGAGAAAAAAAGGGGGAAGGATTCCTGCTTTTGACTGCTATTCACCAACCACTACTAGAAGTGAGTAAATATGAACACTGGATTGATGATCCAGTTTTACTGTGAGGGCCTCCAAAATAAACAACCCAGTAAGCGCGTATGGTACAACAGGACTACTGCTGCCTCAGAAACCATTTAAATTGGAAGTCAGGATCCTCAAGACAGTAGAAATGAAACAAATAAGAACAGCCTTGTGAATTTTATTTGTTTTATTTGCTGTGCTTGCTTTTAAGTTTTCCATCAATGACTGTCACTTCAAAAATTATCTTCAATTGGCATTGCAATTGTTTCCATTGAACTAAGATCAGGGTAAATGTTTCAACCAAATTTCAAGTAAATTCTATTCTATTTGTAGGCCAACTGGCTTTCACTTTCAGGTTTTGGATTTTATCTGAATTCCAAGTGAAAATGTATAGTTGTTATTCACTTCCAATTAAATAAACGTCTGTATTTTTAACATAGAACATAGAACAGTACAGCACAGTACAGGCCCTTCCGCCCACTCTGTTGTGCCGAATTTTTACCCTAATCCTAAATTCTATCTAACCTCCACCCCTACCTTATACTATCATCCATCTGCCTATCTAACAGCTGCTTAAATGCCCCTAATGAGGCCGACTCCACTACCCTCTCCGGCAATGCATTCCATGCCCCTACCACTCTCTGAGTACAGAACCTACCTCTGACGTCTCCCCTGAACTTACCTCCACTCACTTTAAAACTATGCCCCCTCATAATAGCTACCTCCACCCTAGAAAAAAGTCTCTGGCTGTCTACTCTATCTATACCTCTCATCATTTTCCATTATAAGAAATGCCAGCTTGTATTTACATAGTTCCTCTAATGTAAAGGAAAATATCTCAGGGTGCTTCACAAAAGTGTAATTGAACAAGAATCAAAACTTAGCGGTGACTGAGCCCAGGAGGAGATATTAAAAGGAGTTATTTACCTAGCTTCTCATTAACATCTATCAAACACAGAGAGGAATAATCAAAAGCACTGACCTTAGGCACAAGTGATTCAGTGAACTCACCCTCAATTTTAAAAATGGTTTCCCTCAACAACTCACTCATCACTTTGATTCATTTTGATTGTTTGGGAGAAATTCAAATGGTAACTTGAATTCTTTACTGGAGGCTGTGTTACCTTTTAATGGGAGAAAATCAAAGCTTCCTTTTGCTTCAATTCTTTTGTTTTGTGGGCTGTTTAATGTGTTTCGTGCTTTTCCATGTTTTCTGTTTTTTTCTTTTTCAGTCTAATTAATGTATTTGTCACCATTTAACTTTCTGGTTTTGCTTTCCTTTTTTCATTTTGAACTGGATACTATTACTAAGAACAGCATTCTGCACTAGTTAAGCATGTGTCCATGTACGAAATGTTTGGTCTTCAGGTCAGTGGGATTGGAGGGTCTTGTCTGCTAAATGAGTCTGCATTAGTCTGGATACATTTTAACAACAACATTTTAATCAACATATTAACACAACATGGATCAACACCAAATCAGAGTGCCTTCTCTATGTAATCCCTTTCAGCTTATTTTAGACATGTGATGTTACATCATTACATCATGACCCCACAGGCTCTTAATGTCAAACCCATTACTTTCCATCACCCACAAGTCTTTGTTTCCGTTATTTACAGATATAGCCCATCACCCCCACCTCAATCTCAATCCAATTTGCTTCTGAGGATGATAGTATGGTACGCTTACTCTAAATTCCGCTTGCATGAGCATTCTTTGGATATTTATAGAGCTTTCAATGGTTCCTCTGTCATCTTCTGTCTTCTTCAGAATCATAGAAATACAGCCACTGTTTGGTTTCTCCTGATAGTACTTTGCACCAAATATAGAAACACATTGGCTGTTCCACCTTTTCAACATCAATTCATTCTTGATGTCTGTTTGGGATCCATGCTCCTTCTACTGGCTAAAGAATTACCAATTCGCTTGCTCAATAATAGTGATGATTGAAGTTCCTGGTTTGTTTCGCTCATTAAATCTCTTCACATTGTCTCACCCCTATCATGGTCTCCCAAAGTAATTTGTGATGTTAATTTCTTGGACAACAATGGATATTACATTCTTCTCCAATTAATAATTCTG